GGAGGAGGAGGAGGAGGAGGAGGAGGAGGGGAAAAGGACAGGAGGGAAGCGTGGCGATCACGAAACGCAGCCCAGGGGGACGGACGAGGCCGCGGCGGGGCGCGCGGCGGAGGCGCGGCGCCGCGGTCCTGCTCCGCCAGGAGGCTGGACGGCTCCATGGCGGGGAAGCCTCGGTCGGGCTCCCCCGGCAACGATGCAACACTTTTACCTGGGGAAGACGATGGGGGGAAGGGTGATGCCGGCGGATTGCGCAGCCTTCAGGATGGCAGGGACTTGTGCGCAGTCAGGAAACACATGTTTTTTTAAGGGTCTGCGTGTCTGCTGATACGATGCAAAACTGAATGGGTGTTTCTGGGGCTAGGATTTGTCCCCTCACGGTGGTCTTCCCCTCGCTGTAACCCGACGGCGCGTGCGGTTCCGATGCGCAGATGGAGTGAGTGCGTCCCGCATGTGGGTGCGGGTGCTTGGCGGGGGGAAGATTTGACCGCCCCAGTGTGGCGCAACAGATCATAGCCAAAGCGCGAATGAAGGAGGAGGGCGATTTCCCCGCAGCGGACTCTCACCACGAGAAGTACATCGTCGTCCACAGTCAATGTGCTAGCCGCGCCCGCGCGACCGACGTGCAGAAGAGAGAGAGAGAGAGAGAGAGAGAGAAAGAGAGAGAGAGAGAGAACAACAAAACAATATACTAACAAAACAACAGCAGTAAACCTATGTTTGTATATATATATATATATATGTGTATACGCAGCAAACAATAACAAACCACACGCCCAAATAAGGACAATAGGGGCGTAGAGGCACTCGGGTGGTTGGCCACGTGCTTCCTTGGCGCGCAAGCGACAGGAAGCGAGGTCCCGCCAAGCCACCGTCAAAACCAGCCGGCGCTCGAAGCCAAGCAGAGTGCCCACTCAACACCAGCAGTAGCTGCGGAGGCACAGCGGGCCAGCAAAAAGGGGGCACGCAAGGGAGGGGGCACGCAACCGCAACGGCGAGGACGCAGCAGCAACAGACCGCGCCTGGCAAGGGCCTCCCCGCCTCCGTGTAGGGGCGCCAGGCCGCGGGCACCCTCCAAACGAAGGAGACCCTCCTGGTCGTCGCCCGACCGCAACAGGAGCTTGCCCTCTGGGATGCGCACGGACCCCCAGCTCGTGGAGGCCGCCAACAGCGAGCTTCGCCAACGTGCGGCTTCAGCAAGGCGTTACCTGGCACCATGTTCAAGAAGGGCCTGGTCTCCCGCTAGGCGTTTGGCCCTGGCTCGCCCTTCTACTCCGCCGCGAAGAGCCCGCTCAGGAGCGGCTCTCCTCGGACCCTGACGAGCTTGTCTTCGCCCGGCACCGTGAATATCCTGAGGTCGAGAAGGTGCACAGCGAGCTCTCGCCACTCAGCCTCGCTCTCGACGCGAAGCATCGGGTCGGGCCACTCCGCCTCGGGGGCGATGGGGCGGCCAACCGCTCGGCCACCTCCGGCTCCGCGAAGTCCAGGGCGCCCAGCGTGGCGGCGTGTTCCGCCCGTGGCAGCCCGGGCGCCAACTCCGCCAGCACGCGGGGCAGAGCCTTGGCCACTGGCTCGTCCGCGTAGTCCACGGTCGCCGCGCTGAGCGCCGCCTCGGCCGAAGGCGCGATCACCTGGCTGAAGGGGTCGCCCACGAAGCTCGCGACGCGGCTCCTCAGGCAGACCAGGGCCTGAGACAAGGTCGGGCGACGTCTCCACCCTTCTCTGCAGCGGCCGCAGTGTGTGTGTGTGTGTGTGTGTGTGTGTGTATTTGTGTGCAGTTCAGGGCCAAGACGATCAGGGACATCCACGCGTCCTCCGAGACTTGGCGAGCGATCGGTCTGCTCCGAGGTCTGCGGCCGTCCTCTTTACTCGAGCTCCATCCCCTGTCGGCCTCTGAGCTTGGCTGGGGCAGCGGCAACGGGCGCGAACGCGCCTGCCGCTCCAGCAAAATGTGGACACCTGCGATGAAAAAACTGTCGAGCAAGCTCCCAGGCTGCCAGGGTGGTGATCGACGCACTTGATGGTCGTGCCAAACTGCGCCGCGACCTCGTCGCGCCACGCCTCAGCGTCACGAGCAGCAGCGGGCGCGGCATGAAGCTGGCCTGGCCCCAGCTCTTCCAGCCAGGGGTAGCCATCCGATGACAGCACCGACTCGCTGCCGCGAGTCGGGGGCCGCGCCGCGCTTTCCGCTTGGGGGCCCGTGCGGCGCCGCCCCTCGCGAGCTGCTCGAGCCGCTGCTTATGCTCCTTCCCCGTCTCGTTGTCCTTCTTCAGGGTGTGCCGGCTTCGCCGCTTTGCACGTTGTCGGCGTCCGCGAGCCCCCAGCAGCAGCAGCTGCCGTCGGCAGCTCGGTCGAAGAGCACCGCGCGCTGGTCGGGCGGCCTCGTCGAATTCTTCTCGCCGCCCTTTTGCGCAGCTGGGCGATCGGGCGGACGATCGCCAGACGGCCGCGCCGAGGCAGGGGGGTCCGCCCCGTATGGCCTGCAGGGAGAGGCGCCAGCTGCGGGCGCGCCTCCCCCTGGCCTCCACTTCAACCCTGGGGGCTTCCGCAGCATGCTGGCGAGCTCCTCCAACTTGAGCTCTCACAGCTCGATGCTGCGGATCATCTTCTTTTCCTTCTCGTTCCTGAACATAGTCGGCTCGTCCTTCGCTGGGATCAGCTCGAGTCGCGCTCCAGTGTCCGTCCCCGATTGCCACCTGCGCTACCTTCAGGCGCTGGGTCAGCAGGTCCAGCGCCTGCGGAATCTTCCCCTGGGGCAGGTCGTCGGTTGCCTCCACCAGCGTCCTCATCTCTCGGCAGGTCGCCAGTCCGATCCGGCGCACTTGGTTCTGCGGCAGGTGCCTCAACGCCCACGCCGACGCCGGATCCACTGACGACTCTTCCTCCGCTGCTCCGAGGAAGTCCGCCATCTGAGCCAACGTCGTCTCCGACAGCTTTCCAGGCGGCTCCTGTGCCAGCTTGCTGCAGTGCGCTCGCTTGGTCGCGAGCCCTCGCGGCGGCAGGGCGCTGTCGGTCCCGCTGAAAGGGTCGGTCGCCGAAACGCCCTCAGAGCTCCCTGCCGCCTGCGCTGCCGAGCTCTTGAGGACCGCGATTAGCGCCGTCGCCAGTCGCGCCGTCGCCCGCCGCGCCTCCGCTGGCCGCAGCCGCTGCCGTCTGCTCGCTAGCCGCGCGGGCCGGCTCCGCGCCCGAGCCTTTGGCGACCTTCGCCGAGCGCTCGGCGAGCACCTCCGCGAGGCTCCTCTTCTTGACCTCACCCTCGCTGGGCGCCTCCTCGACAGCGGCCGGTCCCGCGGCCGCGGCGGGGGCCGCCGGCGACGTCGCATCGAAGCGGTCCCGCGCCGCCGCCAGCCTCTCCCGCAGGGCTGCCCGCGCCCCTTCGTCGTCGAGCAGGGTGCCGCCGCAGGGGGCGGGCGGGGCACCGCGGTCCGCTGGCGCGTCGTCGTAAGGGCCGCCCAGCTCTCGCCCGCCCCGCGTGCCGACCCGCGCCTCCGTCTTCGGGCGGGCCCGCCCGACGCGGCGCGGCGGCGCGAGGGCCCGCGCGGGGCCCCAGCAGGTCCGCGGGCCAGACCGCCACCGAGGTGTGAGCAAGGCAATCCGCGACCACCTGTCGCACCTCGGCGGCGTCCAGCCTGCGGGCGTCGCTGACATGGATCAGCATGGATCAGCTCCGCGCAACCCCTGGTCGGCTCCACCCGGCAAGGGACCTCCGAGCAGACATGCAGCAGGGTGCCCTCCAGGATCGCGCCTTGCACGCCGGGGGAGCTCGCCCACCAATCCCAGTGCGCATCGTCGCTGAGCAAGAAGCGAGCCCGCACGAACTGGTCGGGCCCCTGCGCCACGCGCAGGGCCTGCCACACGAAGCTGCACTGCGCAACTCCGTCTCGATCGTAGCCCGCACTCATATAGAATTCGCTCGGCTCGACGAGCACTGGCGCCACGGGCTTTGCCTCCACAGCAGGAGGCTCCTCCTCCTCCCCCACGCTGCGATCGCCGTCGCCCTCTGAACCCACTGCGAACAGGTCGTCGACAGAAGCAGCTTGTGAGCATCGTTTAACAGATTCCCATCCCCACCAGCGTGGGCTGGGCCCCACTGGCCGATTTACCCCCTGATGGGGATGTAGGCTGCTCTCCTCGGGTTTCGAGGGGCATGTCCCCAACCGAGGTGGTGAGACGGTGGGGCTCGAGATGTGGGATGGGGATGGGGATAGGGATCTGTTAAACGATACTGAGCGTGGCCCTCGTCAACGGGCGCGGCCATGGCCTCCTCGCGGCAGCTCGGGAGGAGGGGGAGGAGGGGGAGGAGGAAGAGGAGGAGGGGGAGGAGAAGGGGGAAGAGGAGGAGAAGGAGCAGGAGGAGGAGGAGGAGAGCGATGAGGATGATGATGATTAGGAGGAGGAGGATGAGGAGGAGGAGGCGGAGGAGGAGGGAGAGGAGGACGAGGAGAAGGAGGAGGAGGAGGAGGGGGAGGAGGAGGGGAGGATGAGGAGGGAGGAGGAGGAGGAGGGGAGGAGGAGGACGAGGAGGAGGAGGATGATGATGATGAGGAGGATGATGACGAGGAGGAGGAGGAGGGGGAGGAGGGGGAGGAGGAGGAGGAGGAGGAGGAGGAGGAGGAGGAGGAGGAGGAGGAGGAGGAGGAGGAGGACGATGAGGGGGAGGAGCAGGAGGATCGCCGCCAGAGTCCTCGCACCGCGCCGTGGCCGCTGCCGAGCCGCCGGGCCGCGCGGCGGGCGCCGCGCGGCTCCCGCGGATCCCGCGGCGCCCCTTCGCACCACGGGCAGCGGGCGCTCCCCATGGCGGGACGAGGGAGCCCCTGGTGAGAGGCCAGGGGTGTATCTGAGCCAGAGGAGCTGTGGAGCAGATGGTCGACGGCGTCGGGATCTACGCACAAGATGCTAGGACCAAGCAAGACTGTACACGGGCATCTATACTCTAGGTGGCTCTAGGTTATGTATACGTGTGTTTACGTATGCATGCATGTCTGCATGCATGCGTGCATGCATGTATGCACGTACGTATCTATGTATGTATGCATGTATGTTTGTAGGTGTATATGTTTATATGCATGCATGCATGTATGTATGTATTTATGTATGCATGCATGCACGCATGCATGCATGCATGTATGTATGTACGCATGTATGCATGCCTGTATGCCTGCATGTATGTATGTATGCATGCATGTATGTATGTATGTATGTATGCCTACATATATGTATGTATGTATGTATGTATGTATGTATGTATGTATGTATGTATGTATATGTATGTATGTACGTAGGCATGTGTGTATGTATGTATGTATGTATGTATGTATGTATGTATGTATGTATGTAGGTTTGTATGCTATGAATGCACACATGTATGCATGTTTGCGTGTATGTATGCATGCATGCATGTATGCATGCACATATGCATGCATGCATGCATGCATGTATGCAAGTGTGCACACATGGATGCATTTGCATGTATACATGTTTGTATATATGTACGCATGCATGCATGTATATGTCTAATACGTATATATTTATGTAATGTGTATATCTATTTATGTTTGTATATATATATATACGTATGTATATAGATATATATGTGTGTATGCATATGTTTATGTAAGTAGGTATGCATGTATGACTGGCTATATATATACTAGAACCATCGCGCGCGCTTCGCGCGCGCTCAGGTTCTAGCAGGCCCCCTGGCCTTGACGAATTCACTGCTCCGACGAAGTAATGGACCACAGTCCACGCATGCCGAACCGCATTCCGAAAGGCTTCGGGGAATATGGTTGCGTAGGGGGGCGGGGGCCGGATGAATCGGGCTCCCAGAAGGCCTTCTGGGAGCATGGGTTTTGGGGGCGTCTTGGGGAGCCTGTTGGGGCGTGCAGCCGTCGTCGTCGTAATGTCGTCGTCGCCTCTCGGGGCGCGCCGTCGTCGTCGTCGTCGTCGTCGTCGTCGTCGTCGTCGTCGTCGTCGTCGTCGTCGTCGTCGTCGTCGTCGTCGTCCTCGCCTTCGTCGTTTCGCCGTTGTCGTCGTCGTCGTCGTCGTCGTCGTCGTCGCCGTCGTCGGTTCAAGAGGGCACTTTGTGCGAAACGATCTGCGGAGGGCCGCGAGAAGGCGATCTGTCATGTTCCCAGTCAACTTCCCAGACAGTTCTCCTGTAGCATGATGGTACTTCGAAGCCTCTGGAGACTCGCGGGCCCATGATGAACCATGTCCCCGGAAGGCTTTCTGGGGACATGGTTTGTTGGGGTGTGTTGGGGGGCCTCTTGGGCGCTCCCTGGGGGCCCCTTGGGGGCCTCCGGGAACTCGCGGGCCCATGATGAACCATGTCCCCGGAAGGCTTTCTGGGGACATGATTTCTTGGGGTGTGTTGGGGGGCCTCTTGGGGGTTCCTTGGGAGCCCATTGGGGGTCTCTTGGGGCTTCCTGGGGACCTCTTGGGCGCCTCACGGGGCTTCGTGGGAGCCTCTCGGTAGCCTCCGGTGGCCTACTGGCGGCCTCTAGGGCCAGAGACCTCGAAATATCGGTTGGTGGTCCCCCTGTTGGCCCCCTCTTGGGGAGCTCTTGGGGCACACTTGGGTCGTCTGCGGAGCCTCCTGGGCCGTCTTGGGGCCCTCTTCGGGGCCTCGTTGGCCGTCTTGGAGCGATCTGAAGGGCCTCCGAGGCCGTATCCTTCAAAAACTATCGGAAAATGAGCGGATCTTGCCTCCCAGGGCCCTCTTGGGGAGCCTCTTGAGTCCGTCCTGGAGCGTTTTGGAGTCCTCGTCGGTCGTCTTGAGGGCATCTTGGGCATCTTCGATGCCTCTTTCACCGTCTTGGGCCCTCTCGGGACCCCCTTAGCATGTCGTGGCCTGCTTCGGGGCGGGCCCGGGCCGCCTCGGGACCCCTCTGGGCCTTCTCTTGGGGCGCTCTTGGGGCACACTTGGGTTGTCTGCGGAGCCTCCTGGGCCGTCTTGGGGCCCTCTTCGGGGCCTCGTGGGCCGTCTTGGAGCGATCTGAAGGGCCTCCGAGGCCGTGAGGGAGCGCTGGAAAATGGGAAAACGGAGAACGCCAAAATCCAAAACACTCAGTGAATCTTGCCTCCCAGGGCCTTGAGGAGCCTCTCGAGTCCGTCCTGGAACGTGTTGGAGTCCTCGTCGGTCGTCTTGAGGGCATCTTGGGCGTCTTCGGGGCCTCTTGGGACCGTCTTGGGCCCTCTCGGGACCCCCTTAGCATGTCGTGGCCTGTTTCGGGGCGGGCCCGGGCCGCCTCGGGAGCTCTGGACCCCCCCCAACAACCCCCCGGCGGGAACCGATGGGGGGAACAAGCAGCGGCCCGCCCCCCCCCCAGGCCTACTCCGAGATAGAGAAACATGTTCCCAGGAAGCTTTCCGGGAGCATGACTTGTTCGGCTCTCCTAACAGGGGGGGCCTCTGGGGGCTTACCGAGGGGCCCCTTTTGGCCTTGTCGGCAAGCCTATTGGAAACATGGCTGGGGCGGTGGGCGGAAGCCAAAGGAATCATGTTCCCGGAAAGCTGTCTGGGAAATACGATTTGTCGAGGTGTCTTGGGGGCCCGCAGGGGACTTCCCTGGGGGCCCCTCGGGGGCCTATTGAGGCTTCCGGGGGGCCTCTGGGGAGCCTCACAGGGCTTTTTGGGAGCCTCTTGATGGCCTCCAGGGGCGTCCTAGGAGCCTCTCAGGCCAGAGACCTTGAAATGTCGCGCTCTTCGGGCCCTCTTGGGTCGCTCTTCGGGCTTTCTTAGGGCGCTGTCGAGGCCCTCTTGAATTATCTGGGGAGCCTCCTGGGCCGTCTCTGGGCTTTCTTGGGGGCCTCTTCGGCCGTCTTGGAGCGATCTGAAGGGCCTCTGACGCCGTCCGGGACCCTAGGCGGTCCTTTGCTATGCACTGGTATGTTTTGGAGGTCTTGTGGGGGCCGTTTGGGGTGCCCTTGGGGCCTCTTTTGAGCAATCTTTGGGGCCTCTTTGGGGCCTCGTGGGGCATCCAGGGGGCCTCTGGGGGGCCTCTTGGGCTCTGTTGGAGGCCTCTTGGGGCCTCCTGGAGGCCTTTGGGGCGGAAGGCTCGAATTGTCGGTTCGTGTTCCACCTCTTGAGCCCCTCTTGAGGCCGTCTTGGAGCCCTCTTGGGCGATCTTGGGCGCCTCCTGGGCCGTCTTGGGGCGCTCTTGGCCCGTCTTGGGGCTCTCTTGCGCCGTCTTCTGGGGCCTCGTGGGCTGTCTTGGACAGTCGGAAGCACGAAACAGCGAAAACACGAAAAACCTTCAAACACCATCGAAACTAACACTTTGTTCGCCTCCTGAGTGCCTCGTGGGATTCCTTTTGAAAGCATCGTGGCCGTCTTGAAGCCCTCTTGGGCTGTCTTCAAGCCATGTTGGACCAATTTTGAAACGCTCTTGTGCGGTCTTGGGCTCTCTAAGGGCGCTCTTGGGCCATCTTGGCGCCCTCTTGCCCCCTTTGACGTTTTTTGGCGCCCTCCGCCGGGCCCGATACGGCCAG